TTAGCACGTAGTTATTTATTATTAGCATTATTCTTCCGACGTCTGATTTCTTTCTAATTATAGCAAATGCGTTTTTCTAAGGTACATAAACTTTTGGGATTGACTGTATAGCCAATACATCCTTAAAGTAAGTTGTGAAACAGATCCGTAATTCCATCTTAGAAAATCATTGCCTTTGCTCTATATTCTCATAACGAGGATTAGTGAATCATTATACGTCGAAGTTTTCCGCGGGACTCGGTATCGTCACGTTGCTTTCGTAACGAGTTTGATTAACGTACGAAGCGGAAGACGGCTAGTTAAGCAGCTATTATACACGGACGCACGCAACAGTGGACGCATGATGTAAAAACATAAGGTGTGTTCTTCCGGCGTGTTCAAATGTGTCGCTGTTTGCGCCTTCCACTCATCGGCCATATTGGAAGTACGATGATCTATTGTTTATTTCAAACACGCATATATATTACACTCCGAGAACCTAATTTTTGACATGTTTACGATTTTAAAATTAGCTCTGTTTTAATATGAAGCGTGATTGGTTAGAAATCCAAAATGGCCAACGAGTGGAAGTGTCCGTGTACAGATGGATGTTCAAATGAATGCGCAAGAACACACCTTATGTTTTTACACCATGAGTGGACGGAAATCGGGAAACGACGAAAATTACACGAGCGTGCATCAATTAATAATTTTTAAACGACCATTGGCTGATGTCAAGCTGTAAGCCAGTGTAAGCTATACGTCCAGATCTTCTCAGCGAATTGAAAGCCGAATGACACTTGAACTCTATGATTGCTCAATCAGTACATAATCAAATTTCATCTATCAATAATACGTTTACCGCAGCTTTGAACTGTTTCCATTCCAATTAAAGGAAAATAGGATTAATCGGTATCGAATGACTCAATTACTGTTAGACCGAACGGATCTTTACAAGCGGTGAGATTCGGAGAGTTTAGCCTACATATTCGTGCGCGTCTCGTTGATTAGATTTGACGCGACAATTGCCGTCTGCTAAGTGCATCGACGCGCGGATGCACCTCGCGGCGCGCCTAATCCTCGCTGATTGTTACAACCGTAATCTCAGTTGTGTAACTGTCATCAGATTTAAACCGCGAAACTGCAGAAATTAGACAATAGCTAACAGAAGATCTTTCGGTTTTGTTAATATTGAAAAATTTTCAAACGAGATCGGTTTAATTGTACTAGAGTAGATTATGTTTCATCGCATCAAGTGTGGCATTAATTCGTAGACCGACGGGGAATGTAATTAATGGAGACAATTATTTTTTCTGCAACATTTGCCGCGGCCCACGCTAGAGAAAAGGGCTCGTTAAGATGTCAATATCGCGGGGTTAACTAGATGTATTCGTTCCCTACCGTGATTAGATTAGCCTATTAGTCCTGTCTATGCGCGATTTCCACTTGACGCGTGCGGAATCTCTGATGAACACGCGTTATCGTCGCCCGTTTTCGGTTTTTCCCTCCCCCTCGCCGGTAATAACTATGAATTACGCCGGATTACATCGAGCAATAATCTCTTATGTAATTTCCGTGGACGTTTTTCGCGCGACGCTATTTCGATTACCGTGACATTGCGCGAAACAAGGCTGATGGCTAATTGATACTCAAAGGGATTACTGTGTGTTTGTTAACTATCATTAATAGAACGAGGTCTCATCTTAAGGCGAATTTAGATGAACAATACTACCGTTGATTCGAAAATATCCACAAAGAAGCTAACAATGTATATTATCTTTAGGCTTCGGATGTTTGTGCGTTTATGAGAATTTTAAGTAATTTAGAGAGTATATAATAATACGTCAAGACGTATGAAATGTTCAAAGTACGATTCATAATATTTAGAAGAGAGAACAAGTATTAAGAGCGAAGTGAAGAATGTATGCTATTATTAGACTGCGGATGTTTATGCATTTATGAGAACTTTTCAATAATTTAAAGATACACGAAATATCTCAAGTAAAATAAAATTTGTATTTTTTTAAAGGAGAAAACAAATGTCGATATGAATTTAATTTATTAAATTCTACTTGTGTAAATAGGAATTTGCATAATTATCATTCATTGTTCACTGTCTAGAGACGAGACCTCTGCAAATTATATACTATAATTATATATTATTATAATTATGTATAAATGAGGGTAGAATCGTTTTGAATTAGTGAAACGTACCGGAACACGTATGGGCCGACTTCCTGGAGATTCGGCTTGGACCCAGGCACCCTCAGCTCCTCCGGATTTGTCCAATTGAAGAAACGGATTTTGAAATACATTGGAGGCAGGCTACTCGTGTCGCTCCATACCTCGAACGCCTTCGACGTCGGCGTTAGCGGCAATTCCTGATAAAAAAATTCATTTTTTCATTCTATCACGATAAACGTTAGAACCGATATAAGTAAGAACGCGGGTCAAATGGCATCGGTTCGCGCGTAATTCGACATGATTTAAAAAGTCCGCGACGTAACAGCGCGTTCTAATAATAACGCTATATAAAAAAAAACCAAAAATAGTCTGTTGGTCCGACAGCGGCTCGCGGTGGCTGGGCCGTGAGTACGCCGGGCACGTTTCTTCGCAATAAGAAATTATTCGTCTAGCGCAACTCTAAAGAGATACGTCAATTAATTGAACAATCAACCACTTTTCCAATCGCGCTTGGGAATAGCGACGAGACGCGACCGAGACTGCTCATCCACCCGTTCCCATTATTCCAGCCCCCCGGCCTCCCTGTCAAAAAATTCCTGAACATTTCCCCATTCCGTACGAGCTGCATTCGAATTTATCGGCGAACGAAACGAGTCGAATCGAATCGTTGAGTGAAAGAGATAACCCAGCACCCGGGAGGCTATCCGGTGAATTCGCGGTGCATTAAATAAAACTACGATTCTGTTTACTGGTCACCGGTGAAAATAACAATTATCTTGTCTGCGGTTCGTGTAAAAGTTGAGGGAACGTCGATGATGTTCGTCGCAGCGTAGAAACCATAAAATCACCAAAGAAGCACTTCGTTCATTGAACGATTCAGGTCGATATCGTTCATCGGGCGAAATTCCGTAGCTCATACAAAAACTCAATACACAAATAGGACACTCTAAAGAGGCTACTGTTCCTTAGCCGAATCACATCAATTACTCTATCAATTCTCGCGTTAATTACGTGACACATCGTATCAAATAATTGATTGACCTCTTCAGGGACTCTTAATGTTTTTAAATTAAAATTATTCCAATTGAAAAGAACAGATTATTCGTAACAAAAAATAATCAAATCAATTTTTTTCACTTTAAGAAATTCGATAATTATTATATAAAATATCGTATTAATTTCAATGATCGCATGATGCAAATTGATTGAAGATCGTGTACTCACCTTCTGAATAATGTGATGGAAGATCGCCGGCCCAGAGAAATACAGGGCTGTGCCAGAGACGATCAGCAGCAGGCCGAAGAGGCCAAGGCCAAAGGATTTGTTCGCCCAAGGCCTCATGGTGATAGGATCTCGTTTACGATGTACGCCGTTGGTTCTTCACGGTTTCTTATCATGTGTACATCCGACGCGACGGCCGCGATCGTTTTGACCGCCCGATCAAGGCCCGCAAGCTCTTTTCCGGCCCGGCCCAGCGTGCGCTCGCTCACTAGTCTTCCACGCCGAAGCCTGAACCAAGATAAATCCTATCTAATCAGCCAGTTTACCGGGCCGCCACTTTTCCGCGCCCGTTTTCGTCCGCGTCACGTGCTCCTCCACCTCCCGCACCGTTTCCACGCCATGATTTTCTCGAAAACGTGATTTCGAGGCTTAATATTGATAACGATCTCATTTAGCATAAATTTGCAGAATTTTAGTATGAATTCCATTTTAATTTTATTTATTTATTTATTTAAACCAAATAATTACAATGTTTCCTATAGAAGGTAATCAAATATATTCGTACTGATATCTAATATTAAAACGAACTTATAAATTGTGACAAAGAGAAATTAAACAAAAACTTAATTTCTAAATTTTATCTGTCAGCCTACAACGCAATGCCTTTTTGATAATCAGTGCTTGTGTGATTAAACGATCTAACGAGATCACGCGATTTACATGGAAACAGCTAGATAATTGCGATCAAATACGGCGCACGCATACTCTGCTTGAAATATGCAAAACGATGCGGTGAATACAAAGTCGAAACGAGATGACTAATCAGACGGTGACTGAAATACGTAAAGCGAGGCAAGCGTGGCAACTTTCTGACAATAGATATCCAGCAGAGATCGATGACGCTTGTTAATATTACGGGAATACTAGATTACACGTATCGCGCAGCGTCCACGTTTTCATAAATTGTAGATATTAAAATCTGCGTAATTATACGTCCGCTGATGTCGCGTTTCCTTTGGATCATTTAGTGACGTTCTCGAATTAGAATTCAGCTGATACGACAGAATCGACTATTCGTAAATTTGCATACTTCGTATCAAATTTACTCCTTTCTACAATCGCCACGTGCCATTTTATTATTATATTACGCGAAAGCGAAAATGAATTGAAGAAGAATTTCAAGATTTATTCATACCCGCATTTCGATGTGCGTAACGATCGATTCTCATGGATGATTTTTATATGCAGCTCATCGGCGTGACACGGCCGTGAACCGCATCGAGTTTTGTTACTTTCGATTTTATTCTGATTCGCAACGCCGTCTTATCTCTGAACTCTACGATTTTTCTATGCATATCGCGTTACGCACAGAGAACTCTTAGCTCAGAGGAGACCAATTTTTTTTTTGTACCCTCATCATCGGGAATGAGTATTAATTATTTCAATGCGACGTAACGTACTTTGGGTGAGTATTGTTCCCTCGTCACGCCAAGGTTTATCTATGCTTCGTTTAATATAGGTGTAATCCACGTTCAATTATTCGCGAGCATGCAAAGTTCTCATCAATTCGCTCGTTCTTGCTTTTAAATCCTTTTGAGTTTAGAAGATTTAATTGATTCTTTTTTGAGTCTGACCATAGAATGACAGCTTTGATGTGAAAAATTCTTGTTAGTAAATGCTTCGTTATCTGAATCAACAAGAGTAATTATAAAATAGTGATGGAGATCGAGTTATTCATGTCTTTATCGGCGAAACTATGCATCAATTATTTGCGAAGCGCGATAGAGACGATCATCGCGGTTTTTGTCGCGCGTACCCGCCTGTATCCGCCCGTATCGCTGGTATTGTCGTAGGAGCGAGTAATGGACGGTTATTTATCGGTTCACCGTCCCGTGGCCGAGAACGAGCGTTTCTTCCTATCGGACCAATGGACCCGCTCCTTCATATCGCCTGACCTTTTAATTATTCTTTTCGCGCTTACAATGTGAATCGCAATAACCTAATCGCGTTTGATATTTTAGAAAAGTTTTGCGATAGTAGGATCCATCGATGACATCGTATTCCTTCGTTATGAATGAAATTGACGTATCGTATTCTTTCTTATCTTAACTTTTCTCTGCTATGAAATAATCTTAGGAATTTTTATATGATATGATATGAAGTTTTTCCGAAATGATTTCATACTCGTGGCTTGTTTTGTTGTTTGTGCAATTGACTAATGGAAAATTGTTTCCTTGTTAGTAGGTCGTTTCCTCTCGAGATAAGTATTTGACAGGCAGCTCAGTATCGTTTTGTTATATTTGTCAACCATTTCATGTAAATACATAGTACCGATTACTAAAATAGGAGTTAAGTCATAGATGTGTACCACAATTTTAAGAAGTAACAAGCTTTGATCAACATTTGAACGATAAACTCTTAGAAGAGATGTTTATTGAGAAGTAGGGTTTCTAAGAAGTCAGGCTTCCTATGTCAGGGAATTTTTAAAGGTTTTGATATAAAACGTATGATTTTTAATATTCTAATATATGGTTTTGATGTTTTCTAAATGGACTCGACTTGTCTGCAAGCCTAAAATATAACGTCTTCAAAGTTGATGTTATCTCAATCTTAAATTATGAAATTCATTGTTTATAAATTATAAATTCATTTTCTCAGCCTCGTAGAATATCTAAAATTTTGCACAGTATTAATATTTGAATGCTCATTTTTATTTAACGTCTTATACAAATTTAACTAATGTTTAAAACAAAAGTCGAGTTCCTGTAAATGTCAATTATGGAATATGACAATCACGTGTAAGAGTAAATAGCACGTAGGCCACGAAAACGCAGGACGGTAGAAAACAGATGTGTATACAATACGTTAGGACTTGAACTTTCAGAAAAAGGCCCGATAACGACGCAGAGGGTCTGGTTCGTTAAGAAAAGCGTTGCGTAGAACACATTGGAAAAAAGGACCGAAGAATAATTGAGGAGGCACTCTTTAATCGACTGTCGATCGAGACACACCGTGTTTCTTTTCCCTGAACTTCCGTAGTTTTGCAGAATAAAGACATGTTGAATAAAACGTTTGAAGTTTTAACAGATAAATTCCTGACCTTCTTACAAACGATTTGTCATGATCTGCGCATTGCAAGATCCGGGAATGATGAGTAATCTTTAATAGCAATTATTTATTGTCGAGATAAGTGAAAAGAGTTGAGATTCGCTTACTTTCGTTCACGTAGCTCCCAGTCTCAATTGCTTTGGCAAGTCGGGGTGGCCTCGTTCAGTCACGAAACGTTGATAACTCGCGAGTATGTATGTAACAAGATCGTCGTCGCCGAGAGCTTAATCACTTCTGCTCTATCGTACGACGGTGTATTGTGTACGGCGCGGCTGTTACTGCCGCGTCCGATGAATCAACAGGCTGCATATAATGACTCGATAGTTGCCAGCAAAAGGCCCTACCTACTCCTTCCACTAGCAAATTGCTCGATTCCCCTCTGGCGAACCACTGCAGGGAAACGTCACGCTGTCCCCACTATCATTATCTATTATCACTATGATTGTCACGTGACTGTGACTGAGTCACGTGGTGTACGCTACGCACGCGCTTTTTTATTGTCGGGATTTAATACGAAATCATTTTCATATGTTTTAAAAACGTGAATGTCCTTTCTGATAAGTGAAAGAAACCGTAAAATGACAAGGAACAAACAAAAAAGTAATGCTATAATATAGAAATATTTATTGTACAATTGGCACTTTTACTGTAGCCGAGTCACGTGTTTTGGAAAAAAGGGTATCACCAAAAGGACGCCCACGCCAAACCAAGCCACTCTTCTTAGAGCCTCTGGAAAAGTAGAGAGCTTTAATTCTAAAGAGTATGAAAATGATTTCGTATTAATTCGCGGCAATAACGAAGCGCGTGCGTGGCGTGCACCACGTGACAGTCAACCCAGCAGCGATAGTGGGAACAGCGTCATGTTCCCCTGCGGAGGTTCGCCAGAGGGGAACCGAGCCAATTTGCTGGTGGAAGGGGTAGGTAGGACCTTTTGTTGGCAACTGTATAATATCTCTATTGGCCGTATCCCTCCTCCACTCGGGGAATTTTTTCCCTCCAACGTTTCTCTATCTTTCCTTCCTCTCACCCCTTCGCCAGGAATTTCCTCTCTGCGAGCCAGCTGGCTCGTTTTTCTATTCTCCCACGCTAGAGACACAGTAGCACAGAACCAGCTTCTATTTATGCATTGCTCCGTTTCGAGCTATCAAATAGAACCATCGCGCGTTCCCGCCGCGCGCAGATGGCGGCCTCTCCGCGATTTAATTGAAACACGTGCTCGCGCTACCGCTACACGTGTTACGAACCGAGCTGCGATAAGAGGACTAGGAAAAATTCGATAAAATTAGTTAAACTAGGCTTTACTATTGAGTTTCCTTTTTCATTTGTCTGACGCTTAATTATCTTTGATATTCCACTCGATGATGTTCCTTTAATAAAAGAATACACAGCCTTCCTCTGAAGGAACCGAACTGTTCAAAGGCTCACTGTTCTGGCACTCGGTATTCTTGACCTCCCATGCCTGTTACGCAATTACTCGAGTACCTATGACTGAAGCGCGTTACTATAATGCCGATTCTGTTCGTCAGTAATAATTATTGTTCAGAGCGTTTGTAATCCGGTGCGACACTCTCTTCTTCGGCGCAATTGTCCGTGATCGATAACACACTTGCAATCTTGGTGGAAGTGTTAAAAACCGAGGAACAAGAAAAATTGATATTTATTGAGCGGGCGAGCCACGGTTGATAGTTTTATCTTATCTTCTCGAGCAGTACTTCTGATCCAAGGAGATATACTTTGGAACGAGACTTTTCTTCCTTAGGTTTCAACTTTTCCATCCCATCGATTTTAACTGTTTTGGTTTAAATCATGATCTATGCAATTTCTTGCATTATCCATTAAATTTTTGCGTATCCATTAAATCTCACGTAATTTACACTCCCACGTCTCGAACGTAAGCGTTGGAATAATTTCATCATCCACTCGGATTCATAACAAATTTTTAATATATTTTATTTAAACAAAACAGACTTTGAATTTGTTGTTGAGACACTGAATAATGAGAATTCGTGGATGAATTCGCGTAATAGGACAGATTTCAGGTGTTTGCGACGACACTCGATTTAAAACTACCAAGTGTGTACTGAAATGGAAAGGGGCTAGTGATCGCGACAGGTAGTAAGCCCCAGAAGTGCGACTGCCTCAGTCAGCCGCCCCAAACCCTTCAGACGTCTGGCCCGTCTCAAAGCCGTTGATCTTTTCATTGTCGAGGCGGAATTAAAGCCGCGAATAAAAAAAATACGAGGGTGTGTGCGTAGCTTCCGTGGGATAAATCTTCGACTTTCTCTTATTTTCGAAATATGATAAGAATTTTTACTTGGAACTCCGTGAAGTCACAGACTTTGGATAAGATAAACGACTGTTTCAACTGTTCAAACTAGACAGTATCTACAAAATGTATGGTAGCGTAGATAAGAACGGGCTAGTGTTTCCTTCTGGACACATGGTAAGGGTAAAATAAATGTCAAGGATGTGCATTTCGAAAATCGTCTGTAATTCGAGGTCGAGGAAGAATCGATACGAACGGTGGGAACGATTATTCTTAGCACCTTGAGTTTATACAATGATAAGAGTGCAACTGCGTGTTTTAAACGTCTTCCCTATGGAATAAACAATTTATTTCAGTCACTGTATGCATAAACCCACTGCGGCAAGGATAATCGTTTCCACTTCGACATTGGCTTCCCTCACATTTATTTCTTTTCATGTTGCACTGATTTAAAACCAGTTGCGAAATCTTGCGATTTGAAAATTGTTGATAAATATTATGCAATAAGAATCACGCTCGTGTCATGACGATATTAATATTTGTAGACGTTTTATTGATTCGCTACGAAGATTATATGTAATCCAGATCGCGATGAGATAATCACGTGGCGTTCCTAGCGACGCAAATGTTTACCTCGTCCAGGGATAACGAGACCAGCGGGTGTCCCACCTACTGGGCTGAAACGCTATCTCCCTGCGGATCGCAGCTTACGAAGCCCTTCAACTACTCATGGTAGATTCAGGAACGATGTTTTGCGATCTTAGCCTTGTCGAGTGAACCGCGCGGCCACCGCAAGCCGATTATCGGGCGCGTCCAAACAATTTCGGAGACCGCTTGTCCTAATCATGTATACTTAGCTACCATGATGTAATACTACCCTAAATTGAATGTTCAACTGGTAGGTAACGCCTGTTCTCACAATTGCAATGACTCACTGCATCCGTCCGCTTTCGGCCGGTTAATCTTGGAGATAAGACGATTTTAACTGATTTTGACTACGTGCGTCAGATGTTCGACGAACACTCGTCTCTCGGGGTGATAAAATCATTTGTCAATGAAATAATTGTAGTAATTTGAAAGTCGATGGAATTCTGACTCCATAGTAATCGACACAATTTATTTACAATAGAAAAACGTATCGGATGTATACATGTGTGTACGTATATAATAATAATGGTCCTAGGCCGAGTCATCTATCCCGTTAAACGCTTCGTTACATTTGGCCGGGGTTAAGAACCCGTACCCTCCTTGGCAGCCGAATAATGATCAAATGCCAGAACTAATCCTTAATAAACGTGCACTTATCTAATAAAGCTTTTAAACGATACATAATGTGACACCATGCAATGCAAGAACACTCGTAGTAGTAACTTGTATACGTAAACCCAGTAAATGGTCACCGTTCCATATACAACGTCTCTCCAGCCAGTCGGTCGTACATGTAGTAACATGTCACACAATTGCCCAGCTTCTCCGGTGCATTCAGTCGCCTGATTAATTTCCGAATCTGGCGAAGAACAATTGAAACGAATATTTTTATAGACACAGTCGCTGTATCGATTAGAACTCCGGGATGTTCGAAAGTAGAAGAGCGAAACAGTTCATTCCAAATGACTATGTCGCTGGTTAGGTCGCCCTGGCTGGTCCAATTATGAACTCCTCGAGAATCGTTTATTATTTCTCGTTCGGAGATTGACAAAACCGTTTCCTCGCCCACCATATGGCGCCCAGAGCCGCTGCCAAGAATCCGATGCCGGCTACTATCCCCATAGAAATTGCTCTGTTCCTACGATACGCCGGCACTTCGAGACTGATACGCTCGCTCGTCGCAACGTCATCGGAAACCGACATCGCGGCAACCTCGAACGTGTAGTAACTCTCCTCTTCTAGGTTTTTAACTGCAACAAATATTCACGTTCACATTTTTTATGTCGAGTCTAAATATAATTTTATTACAATTTAATTCTATTAAAATGTTTTAGAATATTGATTGTTTAAAATAGGACTTACCTAGGTAGTAAGTGTCTGTCGTTTCCGCTCTTCCGTACAATCGTTCGGACGGCCCTCGGAACCATCTCACCGTGTACAGTCTCACTTGTTCCTTTCCATACGCAGGTGGTTCCCAGGTCACTAAATAACCCTGCGCGGTCGCCTGCACCCTCACGTTCGACGGTGGACCCATTCGGTCATCTAATACGTTTAACAAACTTATAGCCTTGACAATTTTTAATACAAGAAGAATAATTGATTATATATTTACCCGGAGGGCTGCGATACTCCGACGCTGAATTCTCGTTCATCGAATCTGAAAATGTTACTTTATAGTTTTACATCCTGATTTTTTTTTTCTTTATGATTAATCGTTTAATACCTGGTCGCGTGAAAACGCGCAAGGTTTTACTAAACATCCCGTCCCCGTGCTTGTCCTGGCTGAGCACCATGAACTCGTATTCTCGTCCTGGGTTCAGATTGTTCACGGTCGCCTCGGTTATCTTCCTTGATAATATCTTCATCGTTCTCCATTCGGTCGTATCCGTTGGTCTGTACCTGAAAATCATTCCAATCGATATTCTATTAATTTTTTACTATTCACACCTGATTTATAAATTTAATACTTTTAATTGTATTATTCTCTTATTAATTTAATACTTAATTATGTTAATACTTTTTACTTACCAAACCGAGTACTCCATCTTGGGTCTAACATATCCTGGCACCCAAGTCAACGTGACAGCGTTGTTACTACTGTTAGCACTCAGATTATACGGTGCCCTCGGTGGAACGTTCAGAACCATTAACTCCGTGTCTGCAACTACCGTCGCAGCTTCATTGCTAGCCGCGCATTGATACAACCCCCTGTCCTGTTCCTGAATCCTGTCTATCGTTAAATTCCCACCAATTACGATTGTCCTGTTTCCCGGTGGCACTGGCGAGCCATCCTATCGCAGAAAATTGGAATAAAATTAATTTTCCAATTTCAATTGCATTGCAGAATATAATAAATTTAAAAAATCTTTGCTTACCTTGTACCAAACAATAGACGGCCGGTGCGATTGATCTCCGTCCCTAGCGTCGCAGGGAATCTCTAGATTCTCTCCTAGCTTCCTTATGTACAGATGTTGCGGGGTAACCGTGAACACTGGAGGCCTTTGCACGATCTGTCGTACAAAAGAAAAAGTTGGGTATGTTCTCACAATCAGTGGTGACAGGATAATTATCGTGGGGCGTCCCTCTAAAAGTTGACAATTGGAAAATAAAGGAGCGATTAACACTCGTCTGCGAATGGTCATTGATCCCGACGACAAGACCTCGCGACGTTGCCTTTTATAATCCACGATGGATTCTTAAATGTAGCCTTGTATTTCTTTCAATTATAATAGAACGCTCATATGAAGCTTTTTAGTTAACAAATAATTGATCGTTCATATTAATAGTGTTCGTGTTACTTTAAATAGAAACTGTTAAATATTATATAGAAATAAATTATACTGGCCACTGTGATTGCAGGGCTGGGCCCCTCGGTGCCCAATTCGTTGTACGGGGTGCATGTGTAGCTTCCGGAATGAGTCTCGTCGACTTTGCTGAAATATAGAGAGCCGTTCCTCCTGTAGAAGACGCCCTGGACGTTGTACGGGTCGAAAAGAAATCCATCCTTCTCCCAACGGAGGTTCGTCAGGGGTGGATTAGCCCTGAAGTGACAGTCGAGGAGGGCTGGTTTTCCGTAGGGGAGGTAGACGTCACGGGGAGCGTAGATAACCTTCGCCTTGTCTGAAACGGGACGCCGAACGATATTTTCAATTCTACAATTGATAGCTCGAAATTCTAGTCCGCGGTCACGCTGATTGAACTTTCGCCCGCAGGGATTTTGATTACCGTCGTTATCGTCAGTTACACTCGTCGGTAATTCCCATTATTATAGCGGCGTTATTATCCCATTTCCTGAGCGAAAGTGTGCGATCACGGCCTCGCGCGCTGTTCCACCCTATTTGACGTTGCGCAATCGCCCGCGAATCCAGGCCATTCAGTTTTATAAATCTTACGAATTTCAAGATCGATTTTTATCGGATGGATACTTGCATTGAACGTTGAGGAAGGCCGACGCGGATTGTTCGTCTCCGTGTTCACCGGTCGCCACGCAGGTGTACTCCCCGAGGTCGCCCATGGCTGCTGAGATGATGGTCAACGTTCCATCTTCGGCGATCGACGCCCTCCTCTTCATGTCCTGTCAAAAGTAAATTCCAAAAACATCAGCGATATGTTATCATTAAAATTAAATATTGGGATCGGAAATCGGGAAAGTTCGTTTCGATTTTTATAAAATACTTTTTCTAAAGATGTTTGAAATATCATCTGTAGAATCTCGGTTTCTCAAATATTATCACCATGATTTTCATCGCATACGCAGCGAAGGACGTTTATATATGCAAACGAATCAACATTATATATAAAAATTCTCTGTTATATATAATAAAAACGTTGAAAAACGAGATAGTAATGTTTGGTGAACAACTTTGTATAAGTATGTCATTTATTTTTAATTATTCTGACATACTCAGACCTGTCTTAATCCACTCATGAAAAATGGGAATGGATTTCGGGCAGCGCGATTTAAAAGTAATTGGTGTTCTATGAAAAAGCGAGAAATTACCCCGATTTCTGTAACTTGCACGCCATCGCGGAGCCAGCTGACGACGGTCTTCTCTCCCTTTGCGACGCAGTCGAAGATAACCGACTCTCCTTCCATCACAGTTTTGTTGACGGGCGGAACCGCCAGCAAAGTTTCGCCTGGAACAGACGTCGGAAACGGCGACGCACCTGGGTTGAACGATTTAACGAGTCTGCCCAGTGTCAGGTTAGTAAGCATCAGCGGGGGATTATATTCATTTTCTCATTTTTCATTTTAGTCTGCCAGCGATTAAAGGCGGGATTAATATTTTCGTATCTCAGTCGAATTAATTCGCCAATTAGTCCGCAGTGCGAGTTAATCGATCTCGTGCAACGCGTTAATAATTGTGCACGTCCGTGTCGATTAATCTTGACGCTGTGAAACATAGTGTACGATATACACGCGAGCGTTATTCGGACTTGCGTGACATAGGCATTGTGGCAGTTTCGGGAACCGCGGAAACCGTTTGTCTCCGCGATTTCCGTCGTTCTTTTTCTCGTCAGGAAGAGGTGCGCCCGTTCGATCCCATGACTGATATCTCTACTGCGCCATCGTTGCCCTCGATGACTCAATTTCCTATTAAGGTTTAACAGAATTCCAGCGGCAAAAACTAGCAGTTTTCCGTCGGTATTAACGAGTATGAATCATCGCGCCAGCTCGACCTCGAAGGGGGGTCAGAGTGAAGTAAGCTTCTCAGACCTTTGAAAGTGAAACAGCTACTCGAAATAAAATGAAATCATAGGCCGGTATTCGGAGTCGTTGCTTATCCTTAACACCTTCCCGTACTTTAGCGACTCAGACTCGCGATGAAGATTTTTGTCCAAATATGAATATCGCGAGTCTGACTCGCGACCAGATACTTGGGGCAAACATAAATATCACGAGTCTGAGTCGCGAACAGATACTTAGTACAGATAGTACTTATAATTAGTACAGATAGTTTTGTCGAGCTAAATGGCACGAGAAGGGGTTAAGATCGTCTTCAGCATTTCCTACCCCTGTCTCGTACAACATTGACTGAAGAAAATGCTTTAGGCGATTTTAAATATAACTAACGACTCTGAATACCGGCCATAAAATGTTTGTACTTAATCAGCGAAAGGTCCGTATTTCGCAATCCGGCGCAGCTTCTGGTCTCCAGCAGCAATGCATTAGTCGGTGGTGGCCGGCAGCGTGACCCAATTCAGTGCTCAGGGTTAGTCAGTCGACGCTTAACTGCCTTAATGTTAATTCCCTTCGCCGCTTGGCGTTATCGAGTTACCCGATTAACCGGGGACCGACCGAGAAAGCGCGCGATCTTACCATCTATGCCGAGGTGGAACCAGGTCCCGTTGTTCCTCGAGTTCGGCGTCCTGTTCGGGAATATCACCCTGCACTCGTACCAGCCTTGATCGCTCTCGCGTATGTTCGTCAGGTTCACGCTGCCCTGCCCATAACCCCGGGTCACGGCGTCTTCCACGAGGTGCAGCCGACCCGTGTAGTCCGGAGCCACCCACGCATTCCCGGCGTGCAGCGCGAAGATCGTCCGACCCTGAAGTCACGATCGACTTGCTTTTTAATTTAATCATTATAAAATATTTAATTTGTTGTAATTAAATAATTTGTACGTGTGATAAAAAATAGAAATTGTAAGTAACTATGTAGTGGCAGAGACTCGTTGGCTGATTATATACGAGAGCAGGGGCTAAACTGGGGATTAAAATTGTCTTCCGGTATCAGAGGATGATTCCCCAATGACAATTTCATCCCTCGTTATCGCTAGTGAAATGTTCCAAGTCCCTGTTCATTACATACCAGTATTCCCCTCTCCCTCAAGTTGTACGACGCTCTTTCGAGTTAATTTATTTCGGTCTGGCTTTGCTTCCGACATCCGATTACGTTCGCGAGGCCAGCCAGAGACAATCGATTTCATAACCGCGTCGTGTTAACAACGCGAGGGAACGCGGGGCGAATAAAGGTGAGATTTCCATACTCGTCACGCCGCGGCTCTATTGTAATACTCCATTTGTGATTAGCGAACTGTTAGTTGTTATGCGTGCAGCTTTGATGAGTGGAATGCAAACGTTAAGACAGTGGCAAAAGGTAGCATCGCGCGTATAGGAAATCTCAGTTTAACACGAGACGTCGAGATTCTCTTGTTCGTCAAAGAATGCAAGCTTATTAACCTCTCAAAGGATTCCATTTGCATTACCTATTAAAATAAAAAAGAAAACGTTTTTCTTTTTACAAAGCGTTTGTCTGAATAATTTTTGTGGTCATTTCTATAAGCGTCGGACTTTGTGACTGAGAAGTCGAGGCGTCGTTTGGTCGAAAAATCGGCGGTGATAGGTCAAAACGAGGCTGACGAAAAGGCCGCTAATCGTCCCTAATCGTCTGACAATGCGTTAGCAGTGACCCACTACCGTCGGACCCCTCGTGTCCGCGGGCTCGCCGTGACTAAATATAATGCAGCCTTGCGTCCCGTACTCCAATTACCGACGTTCGACAGACGAGGAGAGGGACCCGACCCGGGGCACCTGTTTTGCATACGCATCAGGGACCAATCGGGTTAAGTTCCACTTGATTTTATGCGGTAGCCATGCGCGACGCTCAATCTGTTTCCGGCGCGCGGCTGCACGCGCTCCGATGCAACATCCGCGAAACGAATCACGCCTGGCCCAGCCGTAACGCGCGAACAGGAAATCAAACGATGTCCCTTTAACGCTTTCGCTTAATTCGTTGCTCCCGTCCTGCGGCCGAGTTTGATGTTTAAAAATATTCTACTCCAAATTCGATTTCATCGAACGTCGGAACGAAAGTCGTATTCAGGTTCCTTTTTTTTTTTTTTTTGGTTGGAAATTGGAAAAGTGCGGTGGAAATTGCGCAATCGCAACCGCATTTGCCATGCGAGGGTGTAACGGAAATCGAGAACGCGCGCCGCTTCCCACGCGGATTGGATTAGATACGCGGACCGCTGCCAAGGAAATCGAATCGCCTACCCTGCCTTGAGCGGGCCACTTTTCTACGCGGTTGAACGTGCACGCAAAATCGTTCCATGGTAGCCAGAACATCGAATCGCGGGTTAATTAATCGACAGCCGTCGTTTGGCTTTAATTTTAATTATCGCATCTACTTTGCTGGCATCCCGTGTGCATGTTTCGTTGCGAAATCGGTCCTTGAGAGCGACGCTCGATTTCCCAGATCAATCAAGGTCGGAGTGGCACAGATATCAAATGCAATTCGAATATAGTCGAAGTCTGATCTTCCTCAGTTAACCGCAAACCGCGTAAGCAGTAACTCAAACCGCTTGAGATTTTCGTGTCCCGTGGAAAATAATATTATTCATTGCTGTGTGTTGCACAATGTTTCAACGTTGTTTTCTGTGTCGTTCAAAGATTAAGAAAACTTTCCAAACAAAATTTACTCTATCTGGGCTAGGGTAGTCATGTGATTTTTCTAACGTTACATCGTTAAATCCTAAAGTTGTATAGTTTCTTAAATTTTAGGGTTGTATAAACTCTTTAATTTTTTCAAGATCGCTTGGATCTTCAAGTCTCAAGATTGTAAGAGATTTTAAGTCTTCAGGTTGTATGAGCAGTAAAATCTCTGTCAGAAGTTTAAGAAATGCGCTAAAAAGCTATGTCCCATATTTCGAAACGAAGAACATTTAAGAAAGTAATATTT